ATGAGTATTATTGGAATATCAAAAAAGTGAACACAACCAAAACACAAAGGGAACCCATGTCGCACCCAAACATCATCGCAGAACAGTTTAAAAAAAAAAAACGCAAAATGTAATAGTTAAGCACTGTTTTGCAATACGACAATGTGGACTAAATGGTTTTTCAAGTAGAACTCAAGTCATAGTGCATCAATAATACTTATAAAACATAATGTCTCACGAGCAAAAATAACATAAGCAAATATGAAGATAGAAAATGTGTGCGTGACAATACGATAAATAAAAACAAGCCCACTATCCGGAAAATGAAATTTAATCATATTGTTGCACGTCTATATTGACTCCTTGCAAGTCTTCCTATTGTGGTTACTAAACTTGCCATAATGACCACATCGAATACGCTGCACTACCTCGCCCTTTGATGAAATCCTCTTGCGTTTGGGCCTTCTAGGAGGACGCTTCACCTTTGGCAGCGTACTCAAGTAATCATTGGGTGTGAACATCGGTTTCTCTACGGTTGGAATGGAATATATTGTTCCGTTATACGAAGCTCGAAACTTCTCAATAAGGTAGAACCCTTCAATTGAATCGTATATGTTTCTCTCGTTATTACGAAATGAGACAACAACATGTGAACATGGAAACCCATTTATCTATCACTAAAAACAAGAACACGAACATCTAACCGTGTCAACCAAAACCGACAGATGAGAATGAACCTCATACACATTGTCATTGGCTTGACTAACGCTCCAAGACCTACTATCGTTGTATGCCTTTACCAAAATTTTTTTCCCCATCTTCGAGCATATTACGTCGGCCCATGTACTAGACTTGACTCTGCGCTTTGCCATCTGCTTCATTATTTGACCCCTTATCATATTAACAAACCTAGCAATTGAAAGATGACAGGCCTCACGTATCCAATTGTTGAAAGACTTGGCGGAGTTCGAGCACATCTTGCCATAAAGCCGTCCATTGAAAAAATCCAATGTGAACAAAAAAATATCAATAAAATTGAATAGCACAACCCCATTTATACCATGCTACTACAACCGATATACAAAGAAACAAAAAAGAACAGAAAAAAGGTTGGAATCGAAAACCTTCCATTCCCATTGGGCATATTCACCTACTTGAAGTATGCGTTAGCCCAATATTTAGGATGCAAGTCTTTCAAAAAATCTTTAATCACCGCCGGGCTGCACTTCTTTAATTCCTCTAATTCCTGATTAAAACATGCTACAGTGGACGCGTAAGCACATTCCCGAAGGTTGCTCATCAAACCAATTTTGTGCGATGCATTCACATATTTCATCTAGTCCCTTCATTTGAAAATGCAACAAACAAAATGCATGATGTGCCCATGGGAACATAGTTGGCATAGATTGCAATAAGCCAGCGTGATAGTTGGAGATAAATGTTAACATTCACCCACCACCAACAACCTCTTTCAGATGCCGTAAAAACCACTCCCAATTGGCAGGATTCTCGGAATCAACAATTGCAAATGCCATGGAGAACAAACCATTGAACATAACATATATAGTCAAGTGAAGCAGACGAAAATGTGTAAATAGAAATGTTGATGCATCCTGTCATATGAAACAAATCTGTGCACAGTGCATAAATGTGTAATAAGTTCACAAAATTCAAATGGAAATGTTCATACAGATTACATAACATAATTAAGCATGATACACTCTTACCTTGATTGCCATCCTTCGCAATAGCAATGAGCAGATTCGCCTTGAATCTGCCTTTTAAGAACGTCCTATCCAAAAACAACAAAGGCTGACAATAATTAAACCCATCTATATATGCACAGAATGATATGAAATACCGAACAAACCTCCCATATTTTTTTTTTATCAAATTTAAGGTTAATGTAATTGTGTAGATTTTTTTCGCTATACCATCTGAGTTGGTCGCATGACATTGCGTAATCTTCATACACTTCACCCCTAGCTTTCTACACCCCTAACCATGGGACCCGATAACTAATTTCCAAACCATAATTGTTTTTCAAAATCAACAATCACGTTCGTAGGGCGCATGAGTGGCTGATCAAGCACCCAATCCGCAACAATGCTAGACACCAACTCAGACCCCATACGTGGGTTCCTATTAGTTCGTACAACAGCGCCACAAGTGTGCACACTATCAAACCTCTTAACACATAGAATCCCATTCGATGGTAACACCCTCACGTGAACTGACCATGTGCACCCCATAGACACTACGAACTTACATACTATTGTAATACAGACTGAATCATTTTTCACGTACTTGAATTGAAATCCACATTCCACAGCATATTTACATAATACTTCCCGAAATTCATTAGCCCCGCCCCCCTCCTCGAAACATTGCCCAACATGGGTAATCCCATACTCCCATCCAGTAGACAAAAACGTCTTCAATTTGTTTAGGCAATATGATGGTAACAAATCCGCCTAGTCATTATCACCGAAAGCCCGATTCATAATACGAGAATTTCTAACCTCCTCCGTGCAATCCACCACCCCACAAGTACCACCCACCCCCACGCTCCGTGACTAAATAAGGACTATATTGAATATCTCACCCAAACCAATACATAACAAACTAGAAAAAATCTTCAGCATTCCCTTAGATGAGTGGATTTGAATTGGAATTTTATAAAAATATAAGAAGATTTGCTATTGAAGTTAGATTGACAACTCTAAAGTAAAGGATTGAATAATGATATGAGACATGTACTTTATTAAGATTATTGTACGAGTACGATCTTTATGAAAAAATTTCAAATAACTATTTTCACCGAATTATTTGAAATCAATCATTATAAAACTCTCAAATTCATTATTGATATCTAAATCTAAAAATATTACATTGAATTAAAGACTACACTCCCAAAAATATTGATATTAAATCCATTCATTTCAAATCCAGAAGTCCAAAAGGTGCTTCAGTGAATTTGTCTACAAAAGATCCATATTATTTGTATTCTATCCAGTTAATCAAAACACCAAACCTGATTGCCATCCAAGCCCAGTGGCAAAGGCATCAGGTGTACGGAAATGATGGGTTCAAATCTGTTTCGTTACAAAGAAAAAAATAGCACTAATTGTTTCAAATATTATGCATTTGAAGACCCTATCCCATCCCATCCAATCCAATGAGAGGCTTTTTATATATTTAAATAATATTTTTTTAATATATATATGTATATATATATTACATTAAAACTTATAATGTACATCTATTCTTATAATTAATAGCCTTTGCTATTAGGAACTTTTAGACAAATAGAGCCTTTTTTAAGAAGAAAAAAAAAAAGAAAGAAAAAAAGGAAAAAAAGAAAAAAAAAGAAAAGGTCTTTGTATAAGAAATGTTTGGTTTGACTATGGGAGATAAGTTTTCAAAACATATTTTGGGAAGAGAGTGTAGAAATTTTTGTAATTTGTTTGGTTGTATATTTTGAAAATAGTTTTGGAGTTTTAGAGTTTGGAATGATTTGATATTTTGTTGTAATTGATTAGATGTATGTGTGAGAAAAAGTGATTGAAAAAGAGAAATGAGAGAGAAAAAGTGATTAATTGATGTGTTGGAAAGAGAAAGTGACTTTGGAAATTTTTTGAGAAAAATTACAAACCAAACAAAATTTTCAAAAATTTTCTCCAAAATCTTTTTCCCAAAGCCGAACCAAACAAGTCCTTTGTGTTTTACATTTTAGGGCTCTCAACAAGATAATTCCTTTCTGTTGTGCCTTTTGACAATGAATTTTTTATTTTTTTTTTCTAATTAGCTGTTGGACAAGGAATTTGTTTTTTAATATCATTTTTTATGAAGTGTTTAGACAAATAACTTAAAAATTTCGAGCCTTCTAAAAATAAATTTGAAACTTTAGACAAAGGCCTTGATGGAATAATGGTTGGGCCGGCACTACAACACTTGAATCGAAAATTTTCACACCATACACTGGGCAATAATTTTCATTGTCATCCACAAGCAAAATCTTAATTCCAAACTGATCATCTTATCACCCCGTAGTGTGTTAGTTTAACAACAATCATAGGAGAAATGCATTGTAAATAATTTATCCTTCTTATTTGTGAATTATTAAGTTGTTTATTGTAGGCCAGACCAATAAACTATAGATAAATTAAGTTTACACAACATTATGTATGGTGAATCAGAAGTTTGCGAAAATAGTTCTCTGCATGAATTCTTGAGGTGCTGCGAGGAAGAAAAAAAAAAGGGGAAAAAAAACGTGAATCAGATCATTTCAATCGACTAGAAAATTAAGAAACTACAATATATGAGAGTCTACGCTAGTGTAATAAAAGTGATCCATGAGCATCTGTGCTAGTGTCATAAAAGTGATCTTGTTTAGGAGCAAATTTCACTCACTGGTAGCTATTATGATTACAAGAACAAATGCAAAGTTTAAAAAAATAAAAGAAAAAAAGAAAACATTTTGCTAAAATAGTTTCACAAATGCATATAAAAATAAAAACATTTTGGTAAAAATGAGTTTTTTTTTTTTTTTAATTTGATATTCGAATTGAAAATATATAGTGTCTCATTTATTTCTTCTTTTTCCCTTCAAGTCAAATGTGCCCATAAAACCTGGTGGATTCAATTGCAAGCCCAATCTGTATACAAGAAAGACTTGAAGAGAAAGAGGAAAGAAATTGAAGTTACCTTTCCCACCAGTGAAGAGATTGAACTGTTCAATGGCTTGACGGAGGAACATTTCAACTCCACTGACAATGATGGCTCCAGCAGCCTCAGCTTCTTTTAACAGGGTGGTTTTTCTAGGTGTGTAAACGGCATCAAAGACAATTTTGTAATCACCCAAAGTCCCCTAAAAAATGAAATACCAAGTGTTAATTACAATGCCCGAGTCAAAAATGTTGTTTGGTTGGAATGAAACTATGGGGAGGGACCTTGGCCACAGGAATTCGATCTGCATTTGGATGCATTCCCAATGGTGTTGCATTAGCAAGGATTGCACCTTTCTCTGGCTGGAAAGATACTAGATTTTCAAAAGGCTGAGCTTCACCTGACACAGCCAGAGCAAGAGATTTTGCTCTGTCTTTTGAGATAGAACAATCAGGGTTAGAAACAAGGGCTCAAGTGCTCTTTCATAAGGATGTCTCTACTTCATCAGGTCACCAATCATAGCACGACACATCAATGTATAAGAAAGCAGTTTCAACATAGTGATTGGCAACCCAATGAAATGGAGAGTCCAACAGGAGGGAGGACCTTGAGCCCCAGAACAAAATGTCAAAATATATGATAAAAGAAAAGGTGACCACAAAGCTTTAGATTACATACCAAAATCAATGTCAAAAATGACAACCCTCGCTCCTCTGCTTTTAGCACCAAATGCCAGTGCTCTTCCAGCCCCTCCAGCGCCAACAAGCACAAACATTTTCCCAGTGAGCGGAGATGGGAGTGATACTTCCCCATTAGTGCATCCCCATACTGTGAAATTTCAAATATACAATATGAAATGGTCAATTTCTAAAATTGAATGATTATTAACCAATCAAGGAGCTCTATCATATTTGCAAAAGATTGAAGCATTTTTGTGGGTTCACTACATAACTAACTTATGGGCACTTGATACTTCAAACTAGATTTATAGGCTATTTTCAAGGCACTTCAATCATGCAACAATGGCCAAGTTGTACAATATTAACCTACAACTTCTTTTCAAGAATGAGCATATCGAATTTAATTTTACAATTTGCACCTCCAAGAAGATGTATTATCCAAAGATATTTAAGTGCTATTCTACAAGAAAATGTACTAATTTTTTTGAATAAATTATAAATACACCCCCTAAGACTTGTTTAAAGTACAAATTGCCCATGTGGTTTAGAAAATTACAAATATCCTCTTATTAGAATTTTTTATTTAACAGAATTAATTAAAAAAATAAAATTTATAATTGTTCTCCTATACAATAATAAAATTATCTAAATTATTAATTGAAATATATTTCTAACATCATTAAAAACTATTAATTGACTTGATAATTTATTAATAAAAGGGGCGATTTGTTATGAAATTAGAAACCTCAGGGGTGAAATGTAATTTTCAAAACTACAGGGGCAATTCATATTTTAATTAAACCTCGGGGAGTGTATTTGTAATTTACCCTTTTTCTTTTTTTTTACTTTTTTTTTTGTGTGCAATGATGAACCTAGTTTTAGGTATAGAACATGTAATTGGTTAGAGAAATTGTGGTCTCAACTTTAATACCTTTCAGAGCATCCTCAATTGCAGTTATAGAAGCCTCACAGTCTGTGTTGTAACCAACCAGCTTCCCATCACTATGCCGCCTTATAATAGTATTTACAGCACCTATAGACTGGTGAAACACACAACCACTGATATATAAATATATATAAATATATATGTGTGTGTGTGTGTGTGTGTGTTTGTGTGAGTGTGTGTTGATGAACAAGATTTTAAACCCTAATAATGATGCAGTCATGCAGGCCCATTAAGGTGCTTTCAGCCTACTATTTCTTAAACAATGCACTAGAAATAGGATACACATAATGCACAAATTGAACATGCGTAGTAGCAAAATTTTAACAAAAAGTGGATATCTAAAAGAATATTGAGCAGACCTCAGCAAGTGGATCGACTTCATCACAGAATGTAGTTACAGTTTCCTTGTATGGAAATCCTACACTACAATTGCATAAATAAAAAAGAAAACACAATGTTAACATGAAAATAAAAAAGCAAAGAAAAGCATTTAAACAGTTGCGTAATTCCAAGAATGAAAATCCAAAAGGAAACAATCTCACATAAAATAAACTATGAAGAAGCCCAAAATGCAAGTAAATTCTCTGTTAGATGCCCTCTTCTAAATGAGTGAATACTCAAGTCAGACACTCGACATTTGAGTAAGCGTATGGGATATTTGTTTGACATTGACTTAGACATGCCCCCAACCACTCCTGTCTATTCAAGTTCACTGCATGATTGTACATAAAACTCCCTTGCTATGTTCTTCAAGGAAATGGTTGCTTCAAAATGATTATTTAGTCGTGTTTCCATATTTGAACTTGTGAATTAGGTGAACCCCAAGCCTGGACACATACATACCCGTACCTGAGTCACATATCCAAGTCCGTGTAACATAGAGTATGTTCCATCCTATTCACTTTGTTAAGGCATAATCATATAATATATTTAAGATGGACAGAAAATATTCTAGGGCTCCTCTGCTGCTACAAAAAACAAAATCAGGAAGCGGGGGTATTATAGCAAGTTAATAACGTTTCATTGTTCTGGTGAAAAGGAATTATGAAAATGTTGAGTAAAAACAGATGGCAAAATGTGTGTAACCAGGATATAATCGAAAACTATTTTCCTAAAAAGACACACCAAAGTCATTACCCTTCAATTAGAGCATCACATGCTTCTTTGAAAACTAATATACTACCGCATCCCAAATGAACATTTGGGGCCATTTTACATGTGTACTTTTCTGCAGTACTGGTATCAACTATAATTTGGGCTAGTATTTTTTTCCCCATTTTTGCACGTTGAGAGAGAGAGAGAGAGAGAGAGAGAGAATTAGTTGTAATCCTAATGAAAATAAGAAAAGCACAAAAGATAGCCAAGAAATATATCCTCTTGTAAAAAGAAAGATGATATAGTTGATAAAAGAGAGATTATATTTCTCAAATAAGAGATGAATTTTTAATTAAGGATTTAATTTCCTTAACTTGAAGTGTAGGTGGTCCAAAATGGAGAATACAAAATATGTATCACTAGAGAGGTGAGAAATGTAGACAGTAAACTGGAGAGAAGAGAATTAGCCAATTAGGTGAGCATAAGGCATGCAGAACAGGAAAGGAAATAATGGCAGTACTCAAAATAGCAGGGTCACCTTTCCCCAAAACTATTCTCTTATTAAGGGAATTGTGCCATATTTATAGGCATTCCTTGGCTCACTTGAAGACCCCAAGTGGGCCGGCTAGGTGGGAGATATCCTGTATTAAAAAAATACATATATATATTTAACCAATAGGGTGATGCCGCATGCCTCTAGAATCACGTGGGAATATTCTTTTCCCGAACTGCTAGGTCGAGGTAAGTATAAAGTTCCTTCGGACACTTCCTCCAGGACTCCATAAGTCCCTCGAATATCCTTCTAAGGGAGATTACCTCGATGATCCCTTACACTTAGCTGCCAAGCCACATAATCCCCAATGGCTCAGAATAGGTCATAGCATAGCCTTGCATAAACTACACTACGGCCGCACACCAAGCCTTGAGGTACCTCCCAGGTCCTACCATTTAAATGGGGGCAAACTCACTTAGCTAGGGTGATTTGTTTATGGGGAGGAGATTCTTCACTCTTTGATCTCATTCTTCCCATCTTGGAGGGAGTCATTATTCTGGCATGCCTTGACACTTTTGGTTGTTTCAAGCCCTTTATTACTGGCTCTAGGAAAATTGAATTTTCCGAGGTATGTCATGGAGGTACAAGGGGATTTATCCCC